TTGAAATTTTAAGAAATCATTTTCTAAATTTTTATTTATTGTCAGTGTCTAATTATTTTGATTTTAGAGACTATGGCCTTGTTGTTTTTGTGTTTTTCTTTTTGTGGTACAGAGGGTAGAACCCAGGGATGCTTTACCACTGAGCTGCATTCCCATCCCACTCTCCTTTTTAAAAACACTGTATTTTGGCCTGGGATTTAGCTCAGTGCTTCCGGCGCCTACCTCGAAAGCACAAGGTCCTGAGTTCGATCCCCAGTACCAAAAATTAAAAATACTGTATTTTGAGACAAAGTCTCACTAAATTGCTTATGCGGCACTCAGGCTTGTGGTCCTCCTCCCTTCAGCTGCTTTAAGTGCTGGGATCACACACCACCACACTTGGCTTGGATGGGGGAGCTCTTTGTTTTAATGTTTCACATTTTTGTGGGGGGGTCCTAGGGATTGAACCTACATGTTAATCAGGTATTCTACTGATGAACTATACTTCCAACCCTACTTTTTGTAATTTAAGTTCTGCTCATTTTGGGGTTAGTGTTCTAAGTTGTAAAGAGTATATTTTCTGACAGAGGCATTATTTACTGATAGAATGCTTGCTTAGCATGCATGAGGCCCTGTTTTTATTTATTTTTTTTTCTGGTGACTACAAAGTTCTATATGTATTAGAAACAGTTTTATTTAGAATAATTGATAATTTGAAATAGGAAAAGGTCCAAAGGTGTAGGGGTGGTGGGAGGGGAAGGTGAAAGGAAAGAAGGGAAAGGAAAAATTATGAGAAAAGAAAAAAAATGGAAATGGAATCTGTGTAAATAGGGAAGGGTGGAGGGCGCACAGGTAATGGGGAAAAAAGAACCAAGATACATCATGTACAGGTACAAGCGCCCAATCATAAATGTAAACGTATTGTATACCTAAAATGTACCGATAAAATAATTTTTTTTTTTTTCGGTACCGGGGATCGAATTTGGGTCCTTGTGCTTGTGAGGCAGGCAGCGGAACCACTGAGCTAAATCCCCGGCCCAATAAAAGAATTTTTTTAAAAAACAGTTTTGTTTAAAAAATACTTAATAGTCATTTTGATGGCCAGGATGGTGGTGCACACCTATAATCCCAGCACTTGGAAGGCTGAGGCTGGAAGATCGCCATGAGTTCACGGCCAACCTGGGCTACATAGTAAGTTCAAGGCCAGCCTGAACTACATAGCAAGACCCTGTCTCAAGAAAAAGAAAAAAACTATGTTCATTTTGATATTTAGTCAGTGTTTGGATTTCTGGGAAAGATAAGTAAAAATCTCTAGTCATGATTGTAGGATTATGTGTGTTTGTGTATATGTTTGTGCTTGTAGTAGAATGTGCTGTGCCTTGATGTGTTTTTTTACTTTTTGTTAATATAAAATATATCTTGCCATTAATACCTCCCTTGCTGTTAATACTTATCTCAAATTCTAGTTTGCTTACAGTAATGCCACATTTATTTTCCTGTTTATTTTGAACCATTATGTGTTTTAATTTTAAGTCTTTCTATAAACAACACTGTGGTTTTCTTAACCTGCTTTGAAAATGCCAAATATTAAATTGGCTAGTTTTAAGTTTATTCCTGCCGTATTGTTGGGATTTTAATTCAAGATTGTTAATTAAATATTAAAAATTAAAAATTTTAAAGTGATATAAAATACAAATTAGGAAAAAATAGGAAATAATTGACTCCTGGTGTGGTGTGTGAATTACTGGGACAAAAGGAACCTTTTGGAGATGATGGAAATGTTCTTTCTTAGAGTGGTGGTTTCACAGGTTATGTTTTCCTTTATAATAAAACTATTAAAACCCTAAACACAGCTCTTTCTTGAGTTCCATTGTTTTCTAGCTAATGCTACCAACCTGAGTAGGGGTAGGCACCTCCCAGGCCGGTAGCTGTGGCTGGGCCACCTCTGGACAGGGCCATGCTGCGGAGGGTTGAGCCTTGTGCTTGCCCTGGTCATGCCGGAATTGAACTCTACCAGCTGGGGTTGAAACACTAGCAGGACAGGACCCACTGCTCCTGGATGACACAGGGTAAAACTTGGCCAGATTTCTTGTTTCTTGGTTTCTTTTACAAAGTCCACATAAATCCATCCTCATTCATTAAGAGATTTTTTTGAGAATAAAATAAATTGATTAGGTTAAACTTTAAAACTTAAGCTTATAAAGTTTAATTGCAGTAGCATTCCAAAAATCATTTCTAGTTTGTTGGCCTTTTTCCGCCCCTTAAGAGTTTTGTTTTTAGTGTTAAATCTCATGACTTTGATTTTACTTTCTACAGTGAATAATTAGCTAGATACTACTGTCACTCCTTTTTTCATGTGGGAATGGAGACAGGGTGTATGCCCAAGGCCACACCTGACTCTGGCCTACCTATTTATAACCACCCTGCTGTACTGCCACCCACTGGATTTCCTCTCTCCTGTCGTCAGAAATAAAAGGAAAAGATTGGAGTATTGGGGCTTTTCTTTTTTTTTTTCTTTTTTTTTTTTTTTTTGGTACCAAGGATCAAACTCTGGTCCTTGCACTTTCGAGGCAGGTGACAGAACCACTGAGCTAAATCCCCAGCCCCAAAAGGAATACTTTTTTTTTTTTGGTACCGGGGATCAAACTTGGGTCCTTGTGCTTGCACAGCAGGCAGCAAAACCACTGAGCTAAATCCCTGGCCCTATGGGGCCTTTCAAGATCAGATAAAAAGAGAGGGAAGAGGATCAGTGCTTGTATAAGAGGGGCTGAAATTGTAAATCATTTGACATCGTCTCTTCCCCCCTCCCTCTTCCTTCTCTTTTCCCCCTTGATTTCCTCTTCTTCCTTCTTCTTCCTCCTATCTTCCCTTATTTCCACCACCATAAGCAATTGAACCCAAAACCTCCCAGGAAGCAACACATTCCCCCTTTTTTTCATTTGTACCGGGGATTGAACTCAGGACCTTGCACCTGTGAGGCAGACGTGGTGCCACTGAGCTAAATTCCTGGCCCCACACTCCTATTCTTTAAAAAAAATTTTTTAAATTTCAAGACAGTCTTGCTAAGTTGTCCAGGCTAGCCCTCAGCTTAGAATCTTCCTGCCTCAGTTTCCCAAGTAGCTGGGATTACAGGCTTGTCAACTCTTCTCTTATGTGTCCTTAGATCTGAGTGAATAAATAGCATTTGTCATCTTTCTGTATGGTAAAAATGACAATGTGACAGTAGAAAAATGCAGATTACAGCATTAAACTGTTTGGTGTTTGAATAAACATCTTTGGTTATGATTCTTTTGACCTCAGACTCTTTAAAATACTGATGTTTCAAGCCAGAGGTGTAGATCAGTGTTGAGAGTACTTGCCTACTACTGAGCACAATGCCCTGGGTTCAATCCCCAGTACCACAGACAAGACCAAAAAACTCCACAAACTTGATGTTTCTTAAGAGGTCAAAGTCCGTATTCTTTTTGTTTTGGAAGTACTGGGGATTAACCCCAGAGCTTTTGCCCTGAGCCAAAAATATTGTTTGGGGGCCAGGGATTTAGCTCAGTGGTTTCGCTGCCTGCTGCACAAGCGCAAGGACCTGAGTTCGATCCCCCGTACCAAAAAAAAATTAAAAATAAAAATAAATAAAAATATTGTTTGGTTTGGTTTGGTTTGGTTTTTGGAGGCAGGTTCTCCCTTTGTAGTTCAGGCTGGCCCTGAACTCATTATGTAACCCAGACTGGTCTCCAGCTCAAGGCAATCCTCCTGCCTCAGCCTCCCCAGTGCTGGGGTAGTGGCCGGTACCAAAAAAGAAAGTATCACTACCTTTATGTATGGTCTTTCTTTTCTTTTTTTTTTTTTTTTTTTTTTTTTGATAATGGGGATTGAACTCTGGTCCTTGGCGCTTGCTCAGCAGGCGGCAAAACCGAGCTAAATCCCCGGCCCTCTTTACTTTTTTTTGAATGGTCTTTCATTTGATTATAGTTTTTTTTTTACTATTTTCTTGTTCTTGTGGCCTTCATTTTGTTTTTGAGGCAGAATCTCCTAAGTAGTCCAGGTTGGCATTGAACTTGCTATGTAGTTCAGGCTGGCCACAACCTCCCAGTGCTGGAATCACAGGCATGTGCCACCACACCTAGCTTAGTTTTAATTTTTAAGTATTAGGTTTGGATCTTGGCAAACAGAATTTTTCAAGTAGGGAAAAGTCCCTTCAAAGCTGAAAACAATTTGTTTACTTAACATCTAGTGACTGCTAGTGTGTAGCAGCAGATTTAGGAATGGATGTTAGTTTGTGTGTATATGTTCTGTTTGCAGTACTGAGGGTATTGAATCCAGGACTTCACACATACCAGGCAAGCATTCTACCACTGAGGTACATCCCCAGCCCTTTTTAATTTTATTTTGAGACAGTCTTGCTAAGATACCTGGACTGACCTGGAATTTATGATCTCCTGCATAGCTGGGATTAGACTTGGATACAGCTTGCTCATGGCTGCTGTATACTCATTTTGTAACTTTTATAAATTTCATTATATTCTTTTTCTTGGAAATTTAAAACTTTGAAAATGATATGAAAAGAATGGTATCTCAAGTTTAATATGTGGTGCATGAGTTGATAAACTGTTATGGCACCAGTGTACCTGTTTTTGTAAGTGAAGTTTTACTCTCATACAGCCACATCAGTTTATATACAGTGGCACCTCAGTTCACAAACAAAAGCGTTTGGCACAATTTTGTTTTTGTTTGCAAACTGTACGTCAGGTGAGGAACATGACTACACATTTTTCCCGCACAAACACAAAGGTGCCCATCTTTTCCAAAATCGTGGAACAAATTATGTTCATGAACTGAAGACCACTGCATTTGTCCATCCTGGTCTTCTGTATAAAGGATTTTATCCATATTTTCTACACACATTTACATCTGAAAGAATCCCCTTTTTTTGTCACTAAAATGGTATTTAGGCTATGTGATTTCGTTTCCCTCTGTAGCAAATGAATCACCCCTTTGAGATTGGTCTTCCTTTTCTTTTTCTGCAGCAGGATTGCAGTATGTGGTAGGGAAGTGATGCTGTTTGAAGGTGACATCCTGTCCTGCTCTCTTTCTTCTGTCTTCTTGCTCCTTATCTTGGCTCTTTGGTAACTGGGGGGAGGGGTGTGATCTAGTTAAATTAGAATGAAACTGCTTTATTTCCCCTTCTTGAAAAAGGGAGTAAGGAACGGTTTCCTGATATGTAGTTATCTAACTTGGCATAATCTGTTTTGGGGTCATGGAGTTATTTGAAAATCAGAAGGTAGTTGTGCAGTCAATCACCATGGAGAAAAATGAATATGTTCAAGAATATATTATTAGAAAAATCCTAGAAACCCTCTGAAGTACTCTCTGTAGGGGTCCACGTAGAACCCTTCAGGCAAACAAAATAGTAGGTTATAAAGACTGGGAAATAAAGCAGATATGATTGCAACTCTGTGGTATTAAGTATTTTCTGTTTTGTTGTACCTACAAGTTTAGTATCTTTGATCAATTTTTTAAGCATTTCAATATAAATGAATGGATATAACAATATATTCTGAAGTAAATCTTGATTGTAATGACTTCTGATGTTATCTTTGAATGTAAGTGAGAAAAATTGATTGTAGGTGCTCCAAAAAATGAGTCATTGGCTTGGGATAGATCTAAGCATTTTATATTATAAAGAAAGAAATAAGCCATTGATGTTGAAACATATCTGCCAAATCTTGCTTTTGCCAGCAGGAGAGTGTCTTACTCACTTTTCACTTTTGCATGAGCCCTTCCACTTGGCTAGTGTCTCTTAAACTTCATTCATTGAGTATCATCTTAATGATTTTTGTCTTCTTTGCACATTTCCTGGTTATTAAGTCCACTCACTTTAAAACTTGGATTTATACCAGTAGTTACAGTGTAAAATACGGGCTTAATGTACAGATTCTTTTGCCACTTACCTGTGCAGCTATATTGGGAGAGGTGTTGTCCCATGTAAAAATCATTGTTTTCTCTTTTTAGAGGGCATCAGATTCATTTTGGGAAACACTCCCCTACATGCTGGAATTTTAAAGCTCTGACTTTGAAACAGAGTGGGAATGACAGAAGCTACTTTAACTTGGAAGTACCAGAAAAAAAAAAAAAAAAAGGAGGGCTCATGGGATGAGTGGGTGCTGGCTGCTGAAATACCCCTTGCTTGGGCAAATTCTTCTGTCCTGAATATGAGGATACTTGGCTATGTGCATGGCAAAGCTTGAGCTTGTTTTTAACCTGGCCAAGCATGTGTACATGAGTGTATTTCCACATTTGATGGGTTTTAATTTGTTTTACAGGTTTGATCTTGCTCTTCTACCTAGTTTTTTATGGGTTCCTGGCTGCACTCTTCTCATTCACAATGTGGGCTATGCTTCAGACTCTGAATGATGAGGTTCCAAAATATCGTGACCAGATTCCTAGTCCAGGTAATTATTTTCCAGTTATCATAACATTTAACAAAATTGGATTCTAGTTTATCTTCATCACAAATTTTGTTTTGTTTTGTTTTGTTTTGGTACCGGGGATTGAACTCCGGACCTTGTGCTTGCAAAGCAGGTGGCGGAACCACTGAGCAAAATCCCTGGCCCCCATCATAAGTCTTTTTTATTGTAGAAAAAAGCTAAACCTTAGGATTGGGTAATGTGGACAATTTGATTTTTGCGGGGAGTACTGGGGAAAGAACTCAGGACCTTGAGCTTGCAAGGAGATGGGTGGAGAAAGGAAAAGAAGGAGGGTAGAGGAGCGGAGGAAAGAGGAGAGCTGCTGATGATAGAGAAAGGAAGGTTCTATGTAGAGGAGTTGGATTTGTATAGCAAGAATAGTACACCAGCAGGCTAGGAAGGTGGAAGTGTGGCAAGTTTCTCTCTAGAGCATTGGTTTTTCAGCCACTGGTCATTTGTCCTCCAGGGTGATTCAGCATTATCTAGAGATGTTTTAGGTTGTTGGAACTAGAGGGACTGTTGCAACTAAAAGTCAGGGATGCTGCTAAATATCCTACGGTGCACAGGACAGCCCCTCACAACAGTTATCCAGGCCAAGCTTCTTAGTCCCAGTGTTGAGGAACCCTGGTCTAGATCCGTACTCACTGATAGATTTCTGAGTCATATTAGAGCCAGGCTGAACCAATTTCCCCAACTATTCTTACAAATTGAATGGTTTCCTTTGTTTACAGGTAGTATTTAACTGAGCATCCTGAATAAGTCTTTTCTCTTAGTTTATTTGACCAAGTACTGTATCACGGACTAACTCTATGTTAATTTTCCCCTCATGTTTCACTGTGGCCCTGGTTTGGTTTTTTTCTATCTAGACTATCAAAGATATTTTCTTGCTAAGTCATGTGACTATTATCTTTGACCATAGTGTGATCTATTTCAGAAATGCTAAACTGTTTATAATTCCATGAATTATATGTACAGTAAAATATGTTCACTATTTTTAAGTTTCTTAAAATTATTTATCAAGCATATTATACTTACAGTGTAAAATGCATATATAGTACAGTTTTAGATACGAGGTGTGTTTATAATATTAAAGTTGAAAGCTTGATTTCTTACAGATAAATGTTTGCATATTCTTTTCAACCTTATTAACACGATCTGTATACACAGGTGTCAACTATGGTATAAACAATAACTTTTCTAATTGGTATTGTCCGAGATGGTTTTGAAGATTTGAGTTGAATTTTAGATGTCTTTACTTTCATATTTGAGTAGAAATAGGAAGTTGTTAATAATTTTAGCATATCTGAACACAGTTTTCCACGTTATCTACTGAGACCTGCATTTTAGGGATAAGAGTTAAAGAGAAGGAGAGAGGGGAATTTGATATAGTTAATTTCCCCTTTTCTTTTATCTGTTTTTAGGACTTATGGTTTTTCCAAAACCAGTGACTGCATTGGAATATACATTCAGTGTGTCTGATCCAAGTTCCTATGAAGGATACATTAAAGACCTTAAGAAGTTTCTAAAGTGTAAGTATGTTTTCTTAGAGTAAGGTAAAAGATTTTAATTCTAGAACCCAGCACCAAGTTATGATTAGTTATAAGAAGATCATCCCCCGCGCCCCCGCCACTACCCCGTACTGGGGATAGAACTCAGGACCTTGCACTTGCCAAGCTGGCATAGTGCCACTGAGCTACATCCCTAGCCCCAGTTGTAAGAATGTTCTAAATTATGAAAAGGCATATGGGATCTAAGGTGAATGAAAAGTCAATTTGTTTTTTATTTTAATCTATGCTTTAAGTATACTAGGTTTGCTGAGACATAACATTTATGTCTGCATTAAAGTGAAAAGTGGCTGGATGTGGTGAGATCTCAACATTAGAGAGGCTGAGGCAGGAAGATCATGAGTTGAAGGCCAGCCTGGCTATATAGTGAGTTCGAAGCCACCCTAGACTGCCTTGTCTCATACAAAGCAAAACAAAACACCTGAAAGTATTTTACTAATCTAGCAAATTTGTCTTGTAGAAAATGATACCTCGGAGCTTTTTTGCTTTGTTTTTTTTGTTTTGTTTTTTTGGGTTTTTTGGGGGGTTACTGGGGATCGAACTTGGGACCTTGCGCATTCAAGGCAGGCACCGGAACCACTGAGCTAAATCCCCAGCCCTGCTTTGATTTGTTTTTTTCCAGTGCTGGGGATGGAAACCAAGTAAGTAAGGTACTTGGTTAGAGACAGTATTTGGATCTTTTGCATTTGTTGTAATATTTGTATGGGGAATGGGAATATTATTTTAAATCTGTCAGATTTTTAATGTACCTTATTAGTTATGTTTTTCTGATTTTGTAATGCTCTTTAGTAGCCACCTAGCCCAAATTTTTCTGTTTTGCCTAGCCTAATTATTCATGTGAATGATACTAATAATTACATGAATAATCATCAAACACCCTGACCTTTTCTTTTTCTTTTTCTTTTTTTTTTGATACCAGGGATTGAACTCAGGACCTTGTGCAGGCGGCACCATTGAGCTAAACCCCCAGTTCCACTCTGACCTGTTCTTAATCATCTCCTCCTCAGCCACACACACCTACACTTAGTTACTCCTTAGAACAGGGAGGCTCCATTATTGGAATCACTGACTGAACAGGCTTTCCTAACACCACCTTCTCCCCTCTAGCTTGCCTATTCAACTTCTTTGTGTTATTCTACCTCAGTAGGACTTCTAGTTGCTTATTCATTTACTGTATGTCAGCTCCCACCCCAATGTCCCTTCTTAGCTGGCTTATTAATTCTATGGTTTTTTATTTAATTTTTACTTTCACTGGTACTCTAAAATCCTGGCCTCTCTGTTGATCACTTGTGGCAGAACTCTCTTGGATAAAAATCACACGGTTTCTGGATGGAACTTATCGTCCTCTGAGCCTATGCTGAGCAGCAGTGCTGCTGAAAACACAACTGTCAGCACTAACTACCTGCTCACTTCTCTCAGTTGGACGTGCCTGACTGCCTGGTGATCACACTGGCTTTCTTGTGGTTTTGAAGGGCTGATTGTCATTCTCTACCTAAGTCTGTCAGGCCTCTCACCCCTTACCTTTTCCTTGTCTTACTTTCTTCATTCAACGTGATTCCTTGCTTGCTTCAAGAGATAAGAGAAGTACTCAGATGAGAACTCAGTTTCCCCATTACCAGTAAGACAGATGGACAGTTGGAGCTGTGTTGTCAGTGACCCTTTCCTCTCAGGGAAGCTGCTCTTCCTCTCATCTGAGGTTTCCTAAACCACAGCTGCTTTGGCTCTTGTCCCTCTAGCTCAGAAACATGCTGTTGACTGTCTCTTCTCATGGAAATGTAGCCTTGCTGTCTTCATTGGATTCTTCCTGTCAGCTTGTCAATCTTCACCTCCTTCCCATGTTAAACCCTAAATCTCTGCTGATCCCATGTTATCTTCTAGCTGTCTTCATAAACCTCTTTGCTTTGACAGTTAAATACATAAACAAAAGAAAAAAATCCTTTCTTCATGGAGCTTGTAGTATATTGCTGTAATACATAGTAATACGTGTTGAGGAGGAAAATAAAGCAGAGAAAGGAGGTAGAAAGAGGTGAAAAGGGCTTCAGGCTTAAAGGGGTTGACTAGGAAGACTTCCATGCCTCAAAAGATTGAGGGAAATTAGCCACGGAAATATCCAAAAAGACAGCAGCAGGGGCTGGGGATTTAGCTCAGTGGTTCCGGCGCCTGCCACGCAAGCACAAGGTCCCGAGTTCAATCCTGATCCCCAGTACTAAAAACAAAAACAAAAAGACAGCAATAGGTGCAAGTGCCCTAAGGTTTATTGTGCTTGGTCAGTTCACAGTTCATCAAGGAAGCAAGAGGGGCTGGATGGAGTGAAGCACGGGGAGAATAGTAGGAGACTGAGGTCAGGGAGCTGAAGAAGGACCAGGCTGCAGCTGGGCTTGGTGTACACACCTGTAGTGCTAGCCCTCTGGGAGGCTGAGGCAGAAGATGGCAAGTCCTGGGCAGCTTAGCAAGACCTTGCCTCAAAATAAAAAACTAGTAGGGTTGGGATGTAGCTCAATGCGAAGACCCTGGATTCAATCTGCAGTACCTAATTGATTAATTACAGTAATTAAAACTAAAGACCAGATTGCAAAGGTTCTTAGATGGCAGTTAAATTCTTTGGCTTTTATAGTGACTGAGGTTGGGCATATTTGTTTGCAGTACTAGGAACTGAATACAGGGACCTCTGAGCTATATCCCCAACCCATTTATTTGTTTGTTTGTTTTCCTGGTACTGGGGATTCGAACTCCCAGACCTCGAACTTGCAAGGCAGGCTCGGCACCACTGAGCTAAATCCCTGGCCCTCCTTTTAGTTTTTTGAGACCAAGGTCACATTAAGTTGCCCAGTCTGGGCTTGAATTTGCTATCTTCTTGCCTCAGCTTCCTGAGTAGCTGTGATTACAAGTGTGCACCACTACCCCTGGCTAAGATGGGGGGGTTGGTTTTTACTGGGTTGGTTTTGGTTTTTTGAGTCAGTCTTACTATGTAACCCAGGCTGGCCTTGAACTCAGGAATCCTCCTCCCAAGTGCTGGGATTATGGGCATGTCCCACCAAGCCTGGCTCAAGATCAAGAGTTTTAAGCAGAGAATAACATGATCTAACTCACATTTTTAAAGGGTACTCAGACTGCTTTATTTAACTTTTTTCTTTTTTTTTTTTTTTTTTTGTACAGGGGATCAAACTCAGTTCCTTGTGCTTTCGAGGCAGGCCTGTTGCCACTGAGCTAAATCCCTGGCTCAGACTGCTTTTTGAAACAAGGCTGTAGGGTAGGAACAGGGAAACTAGGACATTGTTACAGTAACCCAGGTAAAGCAGAGATGGTTAACTTGGCAAGGAAGGGAGCAGTAGAGGCTGTGAGAAATAATCTGGTCATCGATATATTTTTATTATGAAATAACCTTGTGCTTTGTCCTTATTTTTGGTGTTTTTCATATGTAAATACTGTACTTTTTCTGCTGGTTATTGATCTTTCACTTTTTTTTTTTTTTGGTACCGGGGATCGAACTCTGGTCCTTGTGCTTGCGAAGCAAGCGGCAGAACCACTGAGCTAAATCCCCGGCCCAAATCACCTAATTATTGATTTATCACTTTTATATATTGTTTTTGCTTAGCTCACAGCCTTAGCCCTTCCCCCTTCTCAATTATTTTTATTTTCTTTTCTTGGTTGCTATTTTATACTTAGATCTTCTGTATCATCTGTAGGCATTCTCTTGTGACTCCCTAATTTGTAAACTATTATTTGAAGTTTCTCTTGAGTCTTTTCTTTCTGGAAATCTCCATCCTAGAGCCTTTCTCCTCCTCTGTGGTCTTTAGTACCTGCAGTGTCTCTTATCACTGCCGTTAGTTGCATCCACTGTTTCTTTGCTCCTGCTTTTTTTTTTGGTACCGGGGATTGAACTCTGCACCTTGTGCTTGCAAGACAGTCAGTGGAACCACTGAGCTAAATCCCCTGCCCACTCCTGTTTTTTGTTTTTTGGGGGTTTTTTTGTCTTCCTGGGGATCAAACACAGGGCACTGAGCTACATTTCTAGCCTTTATATTTTTTATTTTGAAACATCTTAGTAAGTTGGCCAGGCTGAGCTAGAACTTGAAATCCTCCTTCCTCAGAGTGTTGGGATTTCAGGCATGCACTACCACACCCAGCTTGCCCCTGTCTTTTCATTTACTCTCTAATTTTGCTTTTGGTGTTGGTGGCAGTGGTGGAGGATTTGGGGTTGGGGGTGTTTTCTCTATTGTATTTTTGGTGCTTGGGACTGAGTCCCAGGGCCTTGTATGCTGAGCAGCTGCTCTCACTGAAGTGCACTCCAACCCTTTCCAGTTTTGCATGTTTGATTTTGGTTGGTTTCTTGCATTGCTGGGATTCTAACCCAGAGCCTTGCATATGCTAGTTAAGTGTTCTACCATTGAACCACACCCTAACCTCAGTCCCAGTTTGATGGGAGTATATTCTCGAGTCAGTTTATAAGAAAGGTTACAGGAAATGTAAATTTTGAGCCCTTTATTTCTGAAAAGTATTCAGTTCTGCCTTTGTATTTGAGGTTAGCTATGTACAGGTTTTAGTTCTTTGGAATTTGCCTTTTTTCTTTTCTACAGGGATTTTTGTTTTGTTTTCCAGGTTTTGGGTGGGGGGGGGGTTGCTTTTCCAGTAACAGGAATCGAACTCAGGGCCTCATGCTTGCCAGGTAAGTGCTGTGCCACTGAGCTACATCCCTGGCTTTCAATTTATCTCTTTAGGCTTCTAAAATTTCTCTGTGTTTCACTCTAAAATATTTTTTTAGGTCTTGATTGGGAGTCTTTCACGTTTAGATTCTTTAGTTCAAGATAATTATCTTCTATTAGAACTTTGATAATTTCCTCAATTTTCTGTTTCTTAGTAGAACTGTTCTGTATTTCTCCTGTTTTCTGTTGTTACTTAATATAATCTCTGGAGGACTCTCCCCTCACCCACCCACCCCTCTCCCCCAATTTTTTTTCTTTTGGTGATACTGGGGATTAACCCAGGACCCTCCCACTGAGCTACATCTTCAGCCCTTTTTTATTTTTGAGACAGGGTCTTGCTAAGTAACTCAATTGCCTGTGCTGGGCTTGAACTTGGAATTCTCCTGCTGTCTGTCTTCCTACCCTTGCAGTTACACTTTTACACTTAAATGTCTGTGTTTCCTGCAATACTATAAACTCCAGTGGAATTGTCTTTTTATGTCCTCACCTTTGTATCTTTTTGGTCCAAGCACATAGAGTCATGGCTGGACCCTCCTAATGGTAACAAAAGAGATTGATATGTAATCCAGTTTGTATGACTTTTGGAATGCAGTACACTTTAAAACACTTGCTAGATCTTAAGTTAAAGGAGCAAACCTAAAATTCTTTCCTTAATATTATCTAGTAGTTAGTATTGCTAGTTTTGTCCTTGAAGAACATTGTCCAGAGGATGATGTATTCCTGGTTGTGCTTAATAATATCTTTTTTTTGGTTTATCCAGCATATATATAATGGGTGATTTAAAAATATGGTGACTGTATAAAATTTTGTAAATGGGGAAGTGAGTACAAAGTGAGAGGGGAGTATTTTGAGAGGGATTAGCACATCCCCACTGGCTTGAACCACCTGGCAGTAAGACATATGAATTATGGCCCCATTGTAAACATATTGGGAGCAATGAGCCTTTTACTGTAATAATTTTGTTTTAATATTCACTGTATGTTTTGATTACCCATTGTTGATCAAATATGTGTGGCAATTTCTGTCAAATAAAAACATTGCAGTGTGTCCTCATCCACCTTATTCATTGGATCTAACATTTTGCAACTTTCACCTCTTCCCCAAATAAATAATTTGAATGAGTTCAAAACGTTGAGGCAGCCACAACAGTGCAGCTTAGAGACACTCCAGAACTGTTTCCAAAAGTGACAAGAACAACAAGGTTAGTGTATTTGAAGTGATTGAGGGGCTATTAAGAGAGAGATTTATGAGGCTGGGGATTTGGCTAAGTGGTTCTGGCACCTGCCTCGCAAGTGCAAGGTCCCGAGTTCAATCCCCAGTACCACCAAGAGAGATTTATGAAAGTGTGTCTTTCACTATAATACATTGTTTTAAACTGTAAATATTCACCATATTTTACAGTCACACTACATGTTTCCTTTTTTAGCATATTCTTTAGAAGAACAGAAGAATCTCACCAACTGTACTGATGGAGTACTTTTTGAACAGAAGGGTCCAGTTTATGTTGCATGTCGGTTTCCTGATTTCTTACTTCAAGCCTGCAGTGGCAGAAATGATCCTGATTTTGGCTATTCCCAAGGACAACCTTGTATTCTTGTGAAAATGAATAGAGTACGTATAAACTATACTTCTGCTGCTCCTCGTTTCTAATACCCTCTGCTAAAAAATTGTAACTCTTTTCAGATCATTTTGATTGAGTTAATGCCTTATTAAATGTTATCTCATTGGGGGATAGTTTAAAGGCTATAACTTTTTGAATATTTAGTAGCAAAGCATAGTTTTACATATGTAATTAATTGGTGGAAATTCAAATAAAGTCACATTCCAGTGAGCTCAAAGGGATGTTGCAATTGCAGCCAGGGTAGTGGCATTTTGCCATTTTGTCGAAGTAGTATCTGAGGTATGGAGCCGCTAGCAAAGAAAGAAGCCAATGTTCTCTACCAGATAGTTCCAGTAAATGTGAATCAACTCAGCAGAGGAGAGGCTGCGCGGTAGTGAAGTAATCACTCCCCCTTATGCCTTGCTGCTCCTTAAAGATTGTGCTTTGGGGTTGTTCTGTTAGAGGTTATCTTTGAGGCTGTTTAAAGATCTCCCTTGAAGAATGAGGCCATTCCTGGTTATTGGCTTAGAAAGTGCAGTTTCTTAAATAGGTGTGGACCTCTCAAGGTTGAGTTCATATATCCTTGAAGTCGTCTCTGACAAGCAAATTACTCTCATCTCTAGTAAAAGGAAAACTTGGGTCTTCTGGAGTTGGCACTGCTAATTAAGGAGTTTCCATATCACAGATAAACTGCATATAAATTCAGAATCCCAGAAAATCCTATCATAAAATGGATGTATGAAAATACCTTGGTTCACCAACTTGATTCTTTCCAGGATTCTGGTTGCAAACCAAGTTGGGCAAGAACCAAATCAAATTCAGTGGTGAGGTTTAATGTTGACCTTATGGAGAAATTTGATTCGGTTCTCGTCCAGTTTGGTTTGCGGCCAGCATTGTGGAGAGAGTTGTGTTTGTGAACTGAGGTATCCCACTGTATCTGTTACAGAGTTATAATAACTGCATACATCAAAGTAGCCTTACCCCATGGAATTAAATGGTGCTGTGAGTCTTAGAATAGGATTCTTCCCAGTATGTGTATCTGTGGGACAGATAGCTGGGAAACATGGTGAAGCTCTGGGAGCCTAATGGAAACATGGTGGGAATCGTGACCTCATACACTGCCCTAAAGAATAGCTTATCAGCCAGGCATGGTGGTGCATGCTGTAATCCCAACACTTGGGAGGGTGAGGCAGGAAGATCACTACAAGTTTGGGGCCAGCCTGAACTACGTAGTGTGACCTTGTCTTAAAAAACAAGACAAACAGAAAGAATAGCTTGTTATGTTCTGCTTCTGTAGTTCTTACTACATACAATAAATTATCCTGTAAATAATTAGATTTAAGGTTTTCTGTTTGTTGTTTCAAGGGTAACAAAGTGTGCAACTGTGTTTTGGTTATTTTCTCAGTTGTATCAGTACAGCAACAAAACTGAATTGTAAAGTTATTGTATTGGAAAGATCACTTTAATGCCTAAAATAAAATTAAAGTAAAAGATGTAACTGGGTTTAATCCACAGAATAGTGTTGCTCTCAACCCCTCTGCCACTGCTTCCTAACAACATAGGGCAGGCTTCTGTTGCACATACATGTGACGTGTAAATTAATCAAGTGTTTCTTAACCTTAGATAATTGGATTAAAGCCTGAGGGATCACCAAGGATAGACTGTATTTCTAAGGTTAGTATTTAATAACTTCTATTAATGCTTTGGTACTTCTTAGAATGCTTTTAAAGACTATTGAGTGTAGTCGTCTGTTTTTCCCCCCTGCTGAAGTTTTCAAGTACTGTACTTTATAAGGTCATTCATAGAATAAAATTTCACCAAACTTTTTGGGAATATCCCTTCACTTTCCTAACAATCACTTAAAAAGACATTTTTCCATGTCTGTTTGATTTTGTACACATTGCCCTATACCCACATATACCATGTTTCATCAATTCTGATATTCACTTTTTCTCGCTTAGCAGTACTGAAATTGAGATAATTTGCAAGTGTCTTAATACTATATCAAGACGTTTTTTCTTGATTAATGGTACATAAATTGGTGTGCTAATTGGTGCCATCTCAGTTAGTGAAATATGGTACATTTTCCTTAGGATAGAGGCATTGTTTTTTTCCTATCCCTGCTTTATTTTTTTTTCCAGAATGCTATGCAGTTTTCATTTCATAACTTCTTTTGTTCTCTCTCCATGCTGCAAATGCAACTAAGACAAATATAGAAAAGATGGGTAAGAATTCTGAGGAGAAATTAAGTTCTGAATTTAATTTTATCTTTGTGCTGCACACTAACATTCAGCTCCAACTGTATGGCTGAAGTGTTTTACTAAAATTGTTGCATTGAAGCCAGTTAAAGTTATGGGGAAAGAAACTTAATTCAACCCAAGTGCATTTCACATTTGGACAGAAACTGTTTATTAGTTTGTAAACACGATCATGCATCTGCACCTCTCGGGTTTGTTGGGTCTGATTCCCACAGCTTCTGACTCAGCAGGTCAGGCAGGGCCCCAAGTCTGCGTTTGTACTAATTTCCAGGTGGTAATGGTGCTGCTGCCCTAGGGCCCACACTTTACACACTTTAAGAACTCCTTCATTAGTGTCCTTTTTTATGTATTTACTTATTTTATTTTTCTTTCAGTACTGGGACTTGAATTCAGGGCCTTTGTATTGAACCACATCTTCACCACTTACCCCTACCCCCATTTTTAATTTGGGGCAGGTTCTTGCTAAATTGCCTGTACTGGGTTCAAATTTGCAACCCTCCTGCCTCAGCCTCCCAGAATGCTTGCTGGCATTACAGGTGTGTACCATCATGTTAAAAGAGTATTCACTGTTTAAAGTAGAATAAAAAGCCATCAAGTAGTGTGTAGCTTTTCATCTGGGTGGAAGTATACATGTATGACCAGCCTTAGGCAAGTCACATCTACAGAAAATTTGGATAAAAAGTCAGAATCAGAAGAATAGGGAGAGAGAAGCTAGGGCAGCAAAATGAATTTTGAATTTTAAAAAATGTATTACAGTAAAAGATACATTGCCACTAGGCCCCTTTGAAACACTCCCTCTTTCTTTGAACACACTTATCCCATCATTCTCGGTACTTTCTGTAGCTCTAGAAGCCCTCTTTTGAGTCTCTACAAGGTCTGAGCAGAAATGCAGTGAGCGCTGCTGCCAGGTACCATCTGTTGGCAGGGCGGGCTCATGAAAACACCACCGTGTGTCTTCATCTGCCTTACCAGATCTGACACTGGCTTCTGGCTTTTGCCCAAAGTCAAAATGACTGTGATAGGTAATGTTTTGAGTCAGTTCAAGACACCAGGCACAACAGCACAACGAGAGACTTGAAAGAGGACTCCTGACCTGCTTCTGAAAGTGACAAGAAGATGGACTCGGTGTGTCCAAAATGCAGGAGACGGATCCTGAAAGTACAGACACATTGATGACGTGCCGTTAGAGGTGGCTGATGATTCCTGCAAAGGATATAATGTTTGTGTCACTCATTTTTGTCAGTATTTCATGCTCATTTAAGAAAATTTAGAAAAATATAGAAAAGTAAAACATCAGTAAATACTACCCAGTGATGGTAACCATTGCTTAGAATATTTGCCATGTGTGCTTCAAGTCCTTTGCATGTAATGATTTATGAAGAAACAAAATAAGTTGATTGTTAAACTTCATTTTGTTTTCAGTGGCACTTAGTGGGCGTGATTCATAAGAGTTGCTCATCATTTCTGCTGTGGTGGTGTTTGTATGCTTCAGTTATGACTCGTGTGCTCCCCTTAAATATCTCATTATTCAAATACTTGTTTCAATATTGCATGATTTCTCAACATATATTTTACTATAGGAATAAAACAGAAGTTTAAGAAAAACCTTGCCAAGCTTATGGGGTAGATGCTGTCAGTCAAGAGAACAGTAGAGTCTTTAGCCCTGGGTGCTCTTCAGCAGGCAGCCTTAACACTGAGTCCCAGCTCCCTCCTGCTTCAGGGTGGCAAGGTCTAAGTGAGGTCATTGTAAGTGTGGCTTCTGGCAGGAGACATCTGTAATGTGCTCAATAAACCATTACTCAAGAAAATTTTCTTTCATTTTGGGGAATAATCTGTTTCTGTGCATAAAGCTCCTATGTTAAGGTAAAATAGGATCAACAAAAGCAGTTAATGCAGAAAAACATCAATGTGAGTTTTTTCCTGCAATATAAAAATATCTCTCCCTCTCTCTGTTTTTGATGCTGTGGATGGAATCAGGGCCTCAAGCACATGCTCTGCACTGAGCTGTACTCCTGGCCACCAAACATTATAAATGGCGGGTGGGATTTGACATTTGAATAGTGACTTTAAAATGACTTTTAGGGTCCTCTCCTAGTCCTGTTTCCTCCTCTCTGCACATGCTTGGATCTGGATTATTAGAACTTGCCCTTTGTGGAGGATGAGGCTATCATCATGCTTTGTGCTCTGCTGCCTATGTGATTTCTTGTTCCCGCCCTACACATATGGTACTTTGTGATCATGAAGTAAAGTGAGCAGAAAGTAAGGCTTCTTTTTAGATGGACGTACAGTTTTGCTGTGCTGTTTCACATGTATTTTCAGAGGTAGGAATTAATGGACTGTGGATATATATAGCTCAGTGGTAGGGCATGTGTTTAGCGTGCATGAGGCTCTGAGTTTGAACCCCAGTACCACACACACACACAAGTAGGAATTAGTTTATTCACAGCTAAAAATCAAGTGTTCGGTAATGTACAGCAGCTTTTCCTGTCAGATGCACCATAGCTTTACCTCTGGTTACAGCTACTACAACTATTAACTTTTGGGCCTTCTCCCTCCAGCCTGAATTGGCTTTTCAGATTGGCAACTTGTAGCAGCTGTTGCTTTCCAGTCTGGAAGCACAGTTTGTTTTATTCATCTCAGAAAAATACGAGTACCAAACTTGCTGGTACATTCCTGCTGTCAGGGTCCAAAGACTGGCATTGGGCAGCTGGAGCAGTTACATGAGTGGAACTAGGTCTAAATGAGCAGGGACTCTGGTGAAGAAGAGTGTATTTTATATTGGGAAATATAATTGTGTTGAAGAGTTTATGATACACAATAAAAATGAGTAAGTCTTCTTAGAAGTATTTAATATAGTTGGAACATCATTGTAGTTTCTCCACACTGTTAATAATTGCTACTGCTTTCATTGTAAACACAATTTTTTAAATTCTTTGTTGTGACCTAAAAGGTTTTCTTTGCTTTCAACTTTAGGATGAAAACACAGCAATTGTATCAACTTATCCTAATCATGGAATCATTGACTTAAAGTATTTTCCATATTATGGAAAGAAACTGCATGTAAGTATTTAGAAGTTCTTACATGTTACTTAATCTTTTGAGAAACTGAAGTATCGCCTGTCTGCAGTAGGTAGACACATCCCTGTATAATTTGTGTATGACCTATTTTGGTTTTTAAAAGAATGATGCCAACAAGTAGAGAACCACATTTAAAGTTCAAAACATAGAGGCAGGTGTGGTGGCGCACACCTGTGATCCCAGCACTCAGAAGGCTAAGGCTCAAGGATCTCAGTGATTCAAGGCCAGCCTGGGCTACATAGTGAGTTGAAGGCCAGGTTGAACTACATAGGGAGACCCTGTCTCAAAAAACAACAAAAAAACAGCCAGGGATGTAGCTCAGAGGCACTGTGCTTGCCTCATAAGCACAAGGTTCTGAGTTTGATCTCTGATACTGAAAAAATATATATATATATAGACCCAACGAGACAAGTAAAAGGGTAATCATTTTCAAAATATAATTTCCTCTTTCATTACAAATATAGTATCTAGGGCCGGAGATTTAGCTCAGTGGTTTCGCCGCCTGCTGTGCAAACGCAAGGACCTGAGTTTGATCCCCAGTACCAAAAAAAAGAAAATAAATACAGTATCTACATATTTAGAGAAAATAGAAGAATACTGAAGAAAACTCATTACCCAGTTTTAACAATATTGTCGTGCAATTTCTTCTGTATTTTTTTCTTAAAATACATATATGTAAGAATCATAAAATTTGGATCACATTATATACTTTTAACTTCTTACTTTGAAATTATTTCATACGTGAAGTTGCTAGAATAGTAGAAAGTTATCTGTAAGCCCTTTAACAGATTTCTCAAATTTCAATATTTTACCTCATTTGTCTTAACCTTTTCCTTTTTTTTTTTTTAAGGTATATGTAATATAGTTTTCCCCCGAACCAAATGAGACTAAGTTACAAAAATAATGCATAGCTATCAATGGAGACTAGCATTGATCTAGAGCTATTCAACCTATAAACTTTGTTGAAATCTACAAAGGTTGATTAAAAATATAGTCTGTTTAAATAAAATTTATTATAGTAAAAGATACATTGCCATTAATCCCCCCTCAGTATACTCTCCCTCAATTTGAAAAGACTTAACCCATCATTTTTGACACTTTCTGAAGCAGTTCTGGATTCCTTTTTCCTTGAGTGTCTTTGAGGTGTGATCACAAATGCAGTGAATGCTGCTGTTACATACCATCCAGTGCCAAAGAAGGCTCATAAAGCACTGTAACACTATCTTTATCCACCTTATTCACTGGCTCTGACACTGGGACTCCTGGCTCTTTCTCAAAGTTAAAGTGACAGTACAGGGTAAATGTTTTAGATTGGTTCAGAGCATCGAGACAGCCACAACTAAAGATGGCACTGCAGAGTACTCTAGGTTCAACCTTTTTTTTTTGGAGACAGGGTCTCACTGTGTACTTCAGACTGATTTTGAACTCATTCTGTCACTGTGTACCCCAGGCTGGCCTCAAACTCTTGGCGATCCTCCTACTTCAGCCTCCCGAGTGCTGGGATTACAGGCATAGGCCACCACACCAATGTTCTCTAGGTTTATCTTTATCTTGTATTTCTTTTTATGCCATCCATGAAATTACCCCCAGTTCCTTTTAGTGAAGAATTATATTTAGAAGCCACAGTGAAGCTTATGAGTATATTCACCATTTTATATGTAAATATATGCATGTGTATATCCTTATTGTACTACATATGGGATATAGACCTAAATAAAATAACCAGTTGGGTACTCTTAGGAATATTTATCAAACTTAGTAATAAAGACCATAGTGAATATATATCCTCCTCAAGCACACATCATGAAACTGTCATAAAAATTGTCACATCTTTTAGGTTCCACAAAGTAGAAATGTGCTGGTGGTGGTGGTGCACACCAATAAACCCAGCCTCTGGTACCAAGTACTGAGTTCAAGCTCAGCCTGGGCAACTTGGTAAGACCCTATCTCAAAGTAAGAAATAAAAGTAAGACTCAGTGGGAAGGCCCTGAGTTCAATTTCCTGCACTACAAAAAAAGATAAAGGTATATAAATGTGTTAGTAATCAACACATTTTGATCACAACACAATAGAAATTAAAATACCCTTGCCAGCCATGGTGGCACATGCCTGTAATCCTAGCACTCAGAAAGCTGAGGCAGGAGGTACAAGAGCTTAGGGCCAGCCTAGGCAACACAGCAACTTCTAGGCCAGCCTGACTCAAAGCAGAAAGACCCTTTCACATGGTGAGAAGAGTAGAAACCTGTTAAAGAGCGCTTGACTGAAAAGGAAAATTCATGCCAAGATTGTACCATAGAATATCTAGATAATAACACAGCATAATCACAGTCTGTGAGATGCATTTAAAACAGTGCTTACAGGAAAATTCAGTCTTACATACTTTTCATCAATTAGAAAAAGTAAGGAGCTGGTCACAGTGGTGTACACCTGTAATCCCAGCACTGCAGAAAGCTGAAGCAGAAGGGTTAAAAGTTCAAGTCCCACCTGAAAAACTTCATGAGACCCTATCACAGATTTTTTTTTTTAATATAAAGATCCTGGGGATGGTAGGGGCTGGGGATTTAGCTCAGTGGTGCCACCCCCGCCTCGAAAGCACAGGGTCCCAAGTTTGATCCCTGGTACCAAAAAAAAAAAAAGAACTGGTGATGTAGCTCAATGCAAAGGCCCTGGGTTGGTCTAATTAATGATTTGTTTAATGAAAAAAATTTAAAATGTCATAACATAATAGAATAACAATAGTTAATACACTGTGTATCATTATCTTCAAAGTAGAAACCAGAAAGAAACAAAATTTTTTAGAGTAAACTAACTCCTGACAAAGTGTAGATGAAACTACTACAGAATCTGCATTAATGTGTTCTCTTTTATTTATCAGGTGGGCTATCTACAGCCATTGGTTGCTGTCCAGGTCTCCTTTGAATCTAACAGTACTAAGAAAGAAGTAACAGTAGAGTGCAAAATTGAGGGATCAAGGAACCTAAGAAATGAGGACGATCGTGACAAGTTTTTGGGAAGAGTTGCATTCAAAATCACAGCACGCACATAGTCTGAGTAGGATGTCTCCACAGAATAAATGTGTTGTCTGTCTTCATTTTGTGTCCGCTGGACCTGCCATTCTAGAATTCTGAGACCACCTAGGAAAAAGGTGGCGCTGCCTGACCTGGGTAACAGCATAGCGTGCTTCCAGATCACAGTGTTCAGTGTCCTCCAAAGTAACTGCCTGCTGCCTCTTGCTACCCTTTGAACCAGTGTCCAGTTGCCAGATCAGGACCAGTGAACACTGATCCAAGCGTGTGGGTGGGGGTCTTGTCCTCTTTTTTAAATGTGGTTTAATTGCCAAGTATCTAAAGCTTATTGTGCTGTGCAGTGTAAATATTTTATGGATTTAACACTGGTTAACTCATATTTTGATGCCAACAAAGTTTTAGGGGTAAAATGGTACCTGGCCAACATTAAGTAACTTTATGGCTACAACAAATGTGTGTGGAGAAGCTCTGTATGTGAAAAAGAAAAAAGAATAAAAGTGAATCTGAAAGTGTTATCTTGGGTTTTTGTAAAATTTTTTACATGCTAAATTAGTCTGGATCTTTTTGATTAAGAGTACAAACTTTTTGTTGTAAAACATGTTTTTAAAAAAGCTGATAGCATTATTTTTGTGTTGGAACTGAGTCTCTTATAGATTGTATTTCAGACCATTAAAAACAGTGTTTTTAGGTTAGAATGAATGTACACCTAATTTTTTATGAAATTAAATTCATGAGTCTTAAATTGTATAATAGTTTGTGAAATATCTTGTTACTGCTTTTATTTAGCAGACTGTGGACTCTTAATAAAAGATTTAAATTGTGGAATATAAAAACCTGAAACTTATTTATAGCTTGAAACCAAGTATTGGAGTTTTATGACATTCTTTGGTGTCATGGAGTATTTCCTCCACTGTTAGTGTGTAGTGTGTTCATGGTATGACTCTGGCATAACTTTCTCCTCTCTGGAGGAAAGTGTGCTTCCCATATAATCTGTGTATTTTTTTCTAACCTTTTTATTTTCTTTAAAAAAAAAAAAAATCAATATTCTTAGCTTTCTGTTGCTTCAAGCCAAACTGATGGGTGTCAGCCCAGCTGGCTCCACAGTCACTGCTCGGTTAAACTGAGGATGTGGGGTGGCCTGGGAGCACCTCTCCACTTTGGTCCTGGGCAACCAGCCCGTGTGGGAGTTCTGCTTGTTGCTCTGTTGCCACAGTCTTATGGTAACAGTTTTCCCTCCAGATGTCTTTACAATTTAAGAAAAACAGTCCTTGCAGTTGTTAAACTTACTCTGGGCTTTGACTTCTTTATGCTACACTTAAAAATGAAAAACATAAAAGATTGCTACAATGAAAGAGAAAGGCCATGCTCTGCAGCTAGGATGATGCTTTCATTGGCCCAGTTTGAGCAGGTCCTCAGCAGCTAACAAACTCGACTTGTGAAATTCATAACTTACTTGATTAAGTCTGTTCCTGTGGTTTTTAGTTTTTGAAGTGTACTGTAATATGGATAGAATTTTTTTTTTTCAATGAGCTTGAGCAAAAGCAGACCAAATCTCTAACATGAAAGAATTGTCATCCAGTGACATCAAACATCCAAAATTTGAAGATAAAAATGAAACATGCTCTCAAGTCACTGAAGCATCTTGTTCGTGCCACCCCATTCTGAAGTTTGCACTTGGCTCAGCCCCACTGCCGTGTGGGCCCTCAACTGACCTCCCCAGCTCTTCCCTGCACCTTCATCTGTGAAGTTAAAAGTTCAGCTGTCTGTCTCAATTCCAGTGCCAGGAATGGTGCCAGACTCAGAGCACCCAGAGATGGGAACACATGGTGTCAGATGGCAGACCAGGAGGGGACAGACTAAGACAGGTGTGGTGTGATGGGGACAGCACTGGCACTGTTGCACAAGGGGCCATGGAGGCCGGGCAGGGCTAGGTTATTCCAAAGGTCCCTTCTCTGCAGCTCACTTCCCGTAGAGAAGCAGTGTTTATTGAGAAGGAAGGCTGGTTGTTGGGGGACAAGAAAAGGGTTGGACTAGGAATGGAGGGATTGGCTAGGGTTTGTATTTCTGCAGCATTTCCTATGTTCCTTAAAACTTTAGGATGTGCACAGGATCCTCTGGGTGTCAGTGCCCTGCTGTGCTGCCCACGGCAGGAACAACACCCCGAGGGCTAAAGACAGCAGCTTTGCTCCCCTGGCAACTGAGTGTAGCACAATTTTGACACAGTGGATGGGAAGGACTCAGTTGTCAGTTTCGCTGGCTGATAAAAGTATTTTAAATCAGTATGTTGTGTTCCTAACAGGAAATTTGCTAGTTTTCTTAGATCTCCAAGATGTTTTATATTGGAGACTCTTAAAGGAAAATTTGATTGTTTCATTTTTGGTCACAGATGACAAGTTACACACAGTTCAGTCTGTCCCACTGTGAATATATAGGCTTAGCCCCATTCTGTGTACAGTGCCTCTTGGTAGAGTTTTTGTAGACTGGCACTTGTGTGCTTCACCTTGTGACTAAGCTCACAGTACTCCCCGCCCCACCCCCCCTCATGCGTGGTGTACAAGACCAGTTTGCCCTCAGGCAGCTGAGGCAGGAAGATTGCCACAAGTGGAAGGCCAGCCTGGGCTACATAGTGAGTTCAAGGTCAGCCTGAACTACAAAGCGAGACATTGTCTCCAAAAAAATTATTCTGAATTATCCACCAGGTCTTGTGTAATCACTGAAGCCTGAAGCAGCAGCAAAAGTGAGATCCAGAGCAGATTTGGACACAGCATTGCTCTGTGGAAGGGATCATGTGGAAAGTGGGGAAAAGGAAATGCACTCTGCCCATGGCCAGTGAGTTGGAAGCCAAACATTCCCAGGGCCCTGTCCAGCTCTGAGGCTTGGAGCTGCAGCTCCAGCAGGGCCACACTGCCCAGACGGCTGACCTACAGAAATGGGAGTGAGACTTTGAAGCAAATCTGTTTATGGTAGTTTATTTCAGCAGCAAATAGAAAGCTAAGGTGATCATCTCAAGACTAGATAGCCAGGGCCAGGGATTTAGCTCAATGGTTCCACCACCTGTCTCGCAAGTGGAAGGACCCAAGTTCGATCCCCAGTACCAAAAAAAAAAAAATAGCCTGTGCTTCTCAAATGCATCCACCTGTGATCCCTGGCAGTCTGTGAGGTGGAGCTTCCCCTGCTTCTGTGGCTCCGAGGACTACAGGGACTTACAGGTTCTTGGGTCCCATCCTGGTTGGTCAATGCCTAGACTTCAGAGCCAGGGAGAAGAAGGATCCAAAAGAGTAAGGCCTAGGACAGGCATGTCCACCTAGGAAATCACAGTCCCATAGGCTGAGGAGAGGCGCCCTCATTAGTGGCCTGGCTTTCAGATTCCCCACAGATCCCCAGCTCTGTGGCCGTGGTCTCTGGGTGGCAGCTCAAACAGGCTGCCCTGCACAGCAGGCCAAGTGCGGGTGTGTACAGGGCATTTCCACTTCCTTTGCTTTTACCTGTGATCCTGAGGGAGGGTAGGGCACGCAGCCACAGGACCAGCTCTCTGAGGATGGCACATGCAGGCCTGGCTATTAATAGGGCCCTTGTGGGACCCCCTACCTCCTAACTGGATGGGGAAAATCTCTGGGTGCCCCTGGCTTAAGAAGGGAACTCACCTCATCACTAAGAAAAGTGCGAAGTTGATGTTACGTTACTTGGTGAGACATTTCATTTTAAAATATGTTTACTGAACACCCACCATGGGGCAAGCCCTGTGCTGGGCACCTGGGATACACCAGGGATGAGAGCGGATATCTGCTCAGGGAGTTTCTGGGCCTGCCCCACAGTGAGGCTGAAATGATGCGCCAGGCACTTCAGGTGGTGGCTGTCCTTTCTCCTACACTGAAGGGAGGGAACAGCCTTGGAGACTAAATGCTGAGACCAGAGTCCCTTGGGCAGGCTGTGTACAGCTTGTGTCGCCCCACACACGCACCTGCAGCAGGGCTGGTGGGTGGCAGGCCATGGAGCCTGAGCGAGCCTCAACTTGTGGCAATCTTCCTGCCTCAGCCACCCAAGGGCAAACTGGTCTTGTGCACCAGCCACTTTCCTAGGCCGCAGCCCAGAGCCACCCCGAGGGAGGGCAGAGGCAGACACCCATTGTCTGCAGGGTGCTTCTACTATTTCTGAAAATACATTTTGGTACCGGGGATTGAACTCAGGACCTTGCACTTGCAAGGCAGGCACAGATTTCTGAAAATACTTTGAGGTAGGGTTGGGACATGCTTTGGTGACAGAGCACTTAACTGTCACGTGTGAGGTCCGGGGTTTAATTTCAGCACCACCCAGCAGGGGAAGTACTCACCTCTGGGCTGGAGTGAAGTGAGGACTCCTGCACCCACTGCCCATCCTGCTGCTACTTGGCAGAAGCCACCTGAGAGGAGCATTTTGGGCAAAGAAGTGAGGAGCAGCCACCTGCAGATGCCATCTGCCAGGAGACCCCAATTCCATTTTGTATAACTCTGCACTGTACAGATCCTTGGGCTGGACTCAGCCGTTCAAACTGAGAGAAAGGACCATCTCACAGCCTTTCCCCCAACTCTGCCTATTTCGAGACGAGCAGTTGACTTGGATTTGTTTGCGTGGAACTTAAGCCACAAGCTTTCCAGACCTGAAGGCCAGCATGAAGGGGCTGGGAGCTGCTCTAACGTCTTATTGAGCACAGTCTGGGGCTACAGAGTCTGGGTTTCAACTCTTTCTCAGCACTTTGCTGGGGCTGTGTGACCTGGGACAATAACTTAACCTGTTTCTCAGGATTTTGGTTCCTTAAGATTGCATTAAGTGGGCCAGGGATGTAGTTCAGTGGCGCCTCACCTGCCTGGCAAGTGCAAGGTCCTGAGTTCAATCCCAGGTACAAAAAAAAAAAGAGGGTTAAGTGCCTAGAACAGTGCCTGGCAATTAGTGTTACAGATGTCTTAGCTACTCGTCACTGCTATTCGAGAGCTAATTATTTTCCTTCTTTCCTGTGCTTCCCGTTCTGGCCCCAGGAGTCCCCTTTGCCCAGGCCCAGCCCCAGCTCTCTTTTCCCCTCTGTGAGCGTCTGAGGCCAGTGCTAGTGCTGGAGACTCACTGAGGGTCTGGGAAGTTCTCTGAGGATGGCAGAGGGGCCTCTTTCCCAGTCAAAGCCTGCTTGCTAATTCAATCTACAAACCAGGGCCTCAAGGTCTCATCCCCAAGGAGGAAGCAGTAAAAGGAGCTGAACTAAGTGGGAAGCGGGAGTGGACTTGGGAAGAGAGTTACAGGACCTTCCTCAGGCAGCTCCTTGGCCTTTCTGGCACCTTTTGTCCCCAAAGAGGGACATCCATGTGGGTGCACAGAGTGGGAGGGAAACACGTACCCTCAGCCCTGAGGTCCTTTCCCCTGGGCTTCTGAGTGAGTGACCCTGGGCTGGGCTCACCTTTAACCAGAGGCGTGGAAACAGGGCTGTCTTCCAGCTGAAGGATGGGGTGGGGCTGAGTGTTTGGTGGCCCATGTGGTGGCAGGAACCTTG